TATTTGTAGCTATTAAAAAAAAGATGATCCAAGATAAAATGGAAGTTACCACTATTATCATATGCAAATAAAATATTGCTTAAGTTAATAAAAAACTTACTGTAGCAGTACATAGACAGGAATCTTCCAGATTTTCAAGATAGTTTCAGAAGAGACTGTGGAATGAAGAATATCACTGCAGATTTCAGATGAACCTTTGCAGAAAGCAGAGAATATAAAAGAGATTCTTACTTGTGTTTCATTGATTGTTAAATAACATTTGACTACATGGATCATAATAAAGTAATATTAAGAAGAGTAAGAACTCTAGAATGCTTTTTTATGTAGAATCTGTTCATAGAAAAATAAGTGTTATTTGAACAGAGCAAGAGTTGCTACATGGTTTAATCAGGAAAGGTGTGTGTTGGATTTGTAACCTTTCACTGTATTCAATCAGTGTGTTGAGCAAATAATTCAAGAAGCACAAATAACTGGAGCTGCTATAGTTGAGATAGAAGGTGGAAAGTCCAGATGGGGTTTCTGAAGTATACATACTACCAATTTAGTTCATAGCTATTGCTCAACTCCTTCCCTCTCACACACATATGAAGGCAGGTCAAGCCCCAACCAAGAATTAATGCCATGAGAAGGCAAACAGATCATGGAATTTTCTCCTTCTTTGTGAAAGATCCAGATTCAAATCCTGGTTAATTACCTCTGTGCAACTATTACCCGTCACTCATTGAAGATTTGCATGTTGCTGTGATTTCTAATAAGTTTCACAAAGTTTCTAGGCTAAGAGGAAGTTGGCAGTATCCTTCCAAAATCAGTAAATTATAAACCTTCTCTATAACAAACTTATGATTTGCTACTGATGTCGGGGGATGTGCAGGAACAGTTAATTTGTCTGTCATTCACAGGGTGTGGGGATGTGACTCATTTGCTGCAGAGAGTCAAGGACTGTAGTCTTTTATATAGATTGAGGCTTAACGTCAAGAAAACAAAGAATCTTACTACTGCGCCAATTGGCAGCACCATGATGGATGGAGAAGAGATTAAGGTTGTTAACAATCTCAGTTTGCTTGGCTACACAATAAATATTCCTGGCACCAGCAGTCAGGAAATCAAAATACAAATTTTATTAGGAAAATATATTGTCAGGGACTTCTCCAAAATGCTAAAAAAGTAGTGATGTCAGTCTAGAGATTAAGGTGTGTCTGATCCAGGCCATGATCTTCATAATTACTTGCAATGAATGCAAGAGCTTGACGGTGACTTAGAATTATAGAAAAAGAATTAATGTTTTGAATTTTGGTGCTAGAGAAGAGTATTGAACATACCATGGACCACCAAGAGAACAAACATATCTCTCGCACAGCAGGTGAAACAAGTTTCTCCTTGGAGACAAGGCTTTCGAAATTCTATCTCCCATACTTTAGGCAAATGACCAGGAGACCTCAATCCTTGGAGAAAGACATCATACTTGGAAGGGTGGAGGTACAGCACCAGAGAGGAAGACCCTAGTCGTGATGGATTGACACAGTAACCAGGGTAATGGGGGTAGATGTGTCAGAGACAGTGAAACTGGCTCAGAATAGGGCAGAGTTCAGAGGTACAGAGTAAAATGGAGTCATTGACAATTTCTTTTTCCCAACTATCATGATGGTGCAGATTAGTGAAGATTTTTGTTTTCTTTGGTACTGACATGTAATCTATATTGAAGGCTGTAGTTTTTGATCTTCTGCAGTAAGCACTTCAAGTTTTCTTCACTTTCAGAAAGCAAGATTGTGTCATCTGTATAAAGCAGGTTGTTGTTAAGTCTTCTTCCAATCCTGATGCCTCATTCTTTTTCAAAGAGTGCAGAATTCTCAAATTATTTGCTAAGCATACAGATTGAGTTTGTATAGCAAAAGAATATAACTCTGGCATACACTTTTCTTGATTTTAGGCCATAAACTGTTTACAGGTTCTGTTCAGACAGCTGCTTCTTCATCTATGTACAAATTTTGCATGAACACAATTAAGTGCTCTGGAATTTCTATTTTCAAAGTTATCCATAATTTTTAAAATTATTCACACAGTCAATGACTTTGCATAATCAATGCAACACAAGTAAACATCTTTCTGGTATTGTCTACTTTCAGCCAAGATCCATCTAACATCAGGAATAATAATATCCCTTGTTCCACAGCTTCTTCTCATCCAGCTTGTATTTCTGGCAATTCCCTGTGTATGCCCCAGGCATTTAAAAAAATCTTTGGTAAGATTTTATTGGCATGTGATATTAATAATATTGTTCAATAATTTGTCACATTATGTTAATCTTTATAAAAAGAGCAAGGCACTGTGCAGGTAGTCATATCTGACCTTTATCAGCCTCTTAACAACATCAATAAAACCAAACCAAGTCCCATGATGTCAGACCTACCCCCCATGCTCTCATACCTCTTTTTACTCATCTCAACACCAGTGTTACTGTTTGCTATGTCCAAAATTAGATGTGATAGCTCTTAGATCACAGAGAACCATATTGGGAAAGTAAAATGTTATAATCCAGATGAATTACAGAGTACAATCAAGACAGCTCCCATAATGTGCACTCAGCGACCTCAGCCTCAAGCCCTGTGTCCTCAATCCTGCTAATATTGGCTTATCCTACCCCTTTATGTGCCCAACAAAGTTCTCAGTCTTGTCAATAATTGCTTACCCTTACCCCATCTTCCCCAGGTCTCATCTCACATTAGGTCTCCATTTCTGCTATGGCTATTCATTTCCTAGTTCTAGCAGAAGTTCTCTTTCCTCTTCATTAGCCGGAGAATATCTATATATCTGTCTTTCACTCCGGCTTGCTCAATTAAATGGTGAGACGAGCCAATCCCCTTGTAGAATGTCAAGATTGGCCAACCCCTTTGTGGATTGGTAAATAGTCAGTCCCCTTTTGGATTGGCTAGCACATCCCATTAGCATATTCCCATCCTCTCATAGCATCCTCTCTCCTTAATACAATAATTACTTCAGCGTAAAATAAACAGTTAATATTTTGGCTAGGAAAGACAGTTTTGAATGATAAATCTTAGACACCCAGAATCTTTTTCTGGAATGGGAACAAATATAAATTTACTTCAGTTAGTGGGCCAGGTACCTGTTTTCCAAGTTTATTGAAATAGACTAGTGAGTAGGTCAAGGGCTACATCTGTTTGTTGGAATATGTCACCTGATATTCCATCAATTTCTGGGCATTATGCTTTGTCAGTTCCTTCAGTGAAGCTTGAACTTCTTTCACAACCACTAGTCTAGATCAAATGCTACTCCCTGAAATGGTAGAGCACCAACCAATTCTTTTTGGTACGATGATTGTGCATTTCTTTCATCTTCTTTTGATGCTTCTTGCATCATGCAAGGTTTTGTCCAAAGAATCTTTCAGGATTACAACTTGAAGCTAGTTCTTTCAGTTTGAGAAATCCCAAGTGTGTTTTTCCTTTCGGTTTTCTAATGTCAGGTGTTTTCATACTTCCTTGTAGTACCTTATTTTGTTCTCTTAAGCTGCCTTTAAAATCTCCTGTTCACATTTCTTACTTCAGTATTTCTCTCCTTAGTTTTGGCCTTTCTATGTTCTAGTACAATTTTCAGACCCCTTTCTGACATCCATTTTGGTCTTTTATTTCTCCTCTGTCTTTGTAATGACCTACTCTATTTATGAATTATGTCCTCTGTATCATCTCACAACTAACCTGGTCTTCAAACATTAATATTCAATGCATCACATTTATTCTTGAGATGATTTTAAATTCAAGTGTGATAGACTCAAGGCTGTATTTTAATTCTTGTGGATTTATTTTTATTTTTTCACTTTCACTTTGAACTTACACATGAGAATTTGATGGTATATTTCACAGTTAGCCCCTGTCCTTGTTTGAATTCCAATATTGAGCTTCTCATTGACTCTTTGCACAGCTATAATCAATCTGATTCTTTGTAGTCCATCGGGTGAGGTCCTTGTGTATAGTCACCATTTGTGCTTTTTATAAACAGAAACTTTTATGTGCTAAGTCTTAGAAAAGATATTTACAATAGTAGATAAGTCAAGATTGTATGACATTCTGTCATTTAATATCCAACCTCATTTCTGTCACCTAGACTGTATTTTCCAAATCTCAGTTATCTTTTTTTGTTTCCATCTTTTTATTTCTGGTCACCAATTATTATGAATACATCTTGGTTGCATGTTTAATCAGTTTCAGACTATAAAAGATGGCAGAAATCCTTAATTTCTTTGTATAATTTAATGATAGTTGTATTAACAGGTATTTCTTATGTGTGTATGAACCGTATCTGATATCTCATAGCATTATACTCCATGACAGACCTTGAAATATTCTTTTTTACTATGAATGTAGCACCATATCTCTATCTTGACATAGAGATTAAGATTTTCTCCTTAAGATTTCTTGAACCAATTAATGAGATGATTATGAAACACTCTGGGTAAAGAGTTTCTTTGATTATAATTTGAGGTCTTTAGTATAGCAATTATTCAGTGTTTACTGAACGTCTTACCATGCATACTACAGGCCCTGCCCTGCCCTCAGGATTACCACTGCAAGTTAAACAGGGAAAGGTAGAAATGAACTCCAAGAGAAATAAGATTGAGATGCTTACTTTATACAAAATAACTTGTGGATATTCATGCTCACTATTTTCAAGTCAAGCTCTTCAGAAATGGAGATTGATCCTTTATATACAGTACATTCCAACAGAGAAAGCGGATAAATTGCATGAATAATTCAGAGATGTCTGCAATTCAGCGATGTCTGCCCTTCAAGCTCACAGCATTTCCTATGTATTCTTTTCTTCTTTTGGGACTAGGTCTGTTTCACCTCTGTCTCTAGCTGAGAGAAAGAGATGCCAATAATACAGTAAGGTGGTCTGGGGATTTTCTCAAACTAAGGGTTTGAATATAGTATCAGCAGGTGAACTGAAAACGAAATCTCTGTCATGAAAATATCCTATCTTTGAAATAGGAAATGGATGTTTCTGGGGACAATTTCCACATCAAGGGAGTGCCAGCTCATGCCATGATTGTGAGGCCTTGCAAAACAGCCAGTCAGGTAAGCCTGTTCACCACCTCTCTTTCAACAGCCTAACATGAAAAGAAACTCTCTTCAGGCCCCAGATTCATGGAGGATCACAGATGTGTTTTGTTTAAATCCTGCATATCAAATGTCAAAATAAGAACTTCTCCTACTTTTCAAAATAAGGACTGAAAGAATATTTAACTCCCAGTTGACAGGAATGATGTTAAGTGTGTCTCTTTCCATTCCCTGGTCCCTAAGCAGGTCCCAGTGGAAGGAATTGCTATCCTGCACCAGTTCCCATTCTCATCAACATTGCAGAGGATGACAGTCATTGTTCAAGAACTGAGGGGTGACCGACTGGCATTCATGAAAGGTGCACCAGAGAAGGTGACAAGTTTTTGTCAGTCTGAGACAGGTAAATGGATGGAGCTGGATTACAGGCTAGCTAATCTTAATATGACATGCAAGTAAAATACTGAAAAAAAAAAGCAAAATACTTCTGAAGATAATTTTAAAAAATAGGTAGAAGTTTGAGCTGGATTTAAAAGAGGTTATGGCATTAGGGATACCATTGCTGATGTCTGATGGATCCTGGCTGAAAGTAAAGAATACCAGAAGAATGTCTATTTGTGCTTTATTGAATATGGAAAGGCATTTGACTCTGTGGATTATAACAAACCATGGTGAACATTGAAAAGAATTAGAATACTTAACAGTGCTCATGGACACCCACACAGATGGTTTTGTTGTTGCAACAGAGCAAGGGAACACTACATTGTTGAAAATGAAGAAACGTGTACATCAGGGTTATATACTTTCTCCATACCTATTCAATCTGTGTGCTGTTTAACCTATTTGAGAAGCTGAAATATATGAAGAAGAATTTGGTATCAGGATCAGAGGAAGACTTACCAATAACCTGCATTATGCAGACGACACAGCTTGTTTGCTGAAAGTGAGAAGGACTTGAAATGCTTGCTACAGAGGAACAGATAATACAACCTTAAATATGGATTGCATTCATTATCAAGAAAACAAAAATTCTCACCACTGCACTTATAGGTAACATGATAGATGGAAAAAAGATTGAAACTTTCAACAACTTCATTTTAGTTGGATGCACAATCAGCACCCTTAGCTCTAGCACCTAGAAGATCAGGGGTCGTATTGCACTGGGAAAGTCTGCAGTCAGGGACTTCTTTGAATTATTGAGGAACAATGATATAAATTTGAGGACTAACATGCACCAGATTCAGGCTATGTTCTTTTCAGTCACTTGCTATACATCTGATAACTGGACAATGACTAAGGATAACAGAAGAATTGATGCCTATGAGTTCTTGAGAAAATTGCTGAATATTCCATGGATTTCCAGAAGAATAAACAGATGTCTTGGAGAAGGGGTAGTCGGAATGCTCCTTGGAGGCAAAGGTGTCTCACATACTTGGGAGATGTTGCTAGGAAAGGCTATTCCTTGGAGAGGGACATCATGCTTTGAAAGGTGGAGGGTTGATGTGAGAGGGAAAGACCTTCAATCAAAATGGATTGACACAGTGACTGGAACAATGGGCTTGAGTGTGTTAGAGATTGTGAGGGTGACACAAGAGATATCTGTTGTTCATAGGGTCGCTATGTTCATGCTCAATTTGAAGTTACCTAACAACAATAGCAACAACAATCTGTATTTTTATGCCAAATATGCTCTCTTAGTACCTGATCTGTGTGAATCCAATTACCACAGATTACTGCCAATTAGATGACACAGCAACATCCCAAATATACCCAAATCAAACTTATTTTTTCCATCTTGTATTTCTCATCTTGGTATTGGTACCTCCATCACTCTATACTTAGAATCATTCTTTTTCTTCTTCCTCACATCAGTGCCACTATCCACTCAGTTGTTAATCTATGGCCTTTGTCACTGCCTCTACCCAGGCCATCATTTTCTGACTGGGTCACTCAATCCTCGATTGCCTTCCCCTAATCTTCTCCACTCTAAATTATTCTCCATATGATGACCAACTTAGATTGGTCTTTCTTTTACTAAATATATTGTTACTTTCCTGGTTTCCTATTTTTAGTTGCTTCCCATATTGTTGTGTTGTTAGAGACCTTCTAGTTGGAACCAACATGTAGCTGACTCACCAGCAGTTTTTCAGGAGCAGTAATTTCATTAGAAGATATTGCCTATCTTTCTCCCATGGAACAGCTGGTGGCTCCAAACTGTGTGCCTTTGGGTTGGCAGTGTAACTTCTTATCACTAAGCCACCATAGCGCCCTGTTGGAGAGGGACCCAGGGTAATCTTAAACTTCTTTAGGATTATATATTATTCATGGTCTGGCCCCTATTCAACTGTTGTTGTTGATTTGATTCTGGTTCCGGATAACCCCATATATGTCAGGATAGAATTGTTTCCAACAGGGTTTCCAATAGCTAACATTTCAGAAGTAGACTGAGGAGCATTTCTATGGAAGTGTTCTGGATAGACTAAAACAATAGACTTTTTGGTAACTGTCAAGCCTGTTAACTTGTTTGGACCACCCAGGAATTTGACCCCCTTTCTTCAGATACACCATAGCACTTCTCACATCCTGTCCTCCTTCTGAGCTGAGCTGGCTACTCAAGACTTACTCTTTTAGGCATGCAAGGCCTAGCACATGGTATTTCCTCACTGCAAATTATCATTTGTTCTTTCAGCTAACCACCTTATCCCAATCTAATACATGCAGCACTATGTACCTGCATAGCACTTGTGACTCCCAGGTGTATTAATTCATTGGATCTGCCATAACAAAACACCACAAGTAGGTAGTTTTAGATGATGGAAGTCTATTTCCTTATAATTCTAGAAATTAAAGTCCAAATCAAAGTATCAGCTGTGTCAGTTTCTTTTGTGGACTCTTTCCTCTTTTTGAGTGACTACCTATAATACTTGACATTCATTTGTGACTACAGATGCATCTACCTCCAATATCATAATAAGAACCCCCACTATATGCCTATCTCTCTATTTCCCCTTAATAATACAATACTCAGAAGAGATCAAGTTTAGGACTCATCCTTCTCTGGTATGATCTCATTAACATAACAAACTTACTAGTTTGTGTTAAATTGGACATGGTTCATAGCTGACCCTCCAGCAGGTTTTCAGAGACTTTAAATCACACAAAATGATATTGCTCCTCTTTCTCCCACAGAGAAGCTGGTGGATTAGAACCCCCTGCTTTTGACTTGGCAGCATAACTCCTTAACCATGAGGATAACAGAAGGGGAATTAGTAATTTCAACATATATTTTGGAGGGACACCATTCAATTAATAATATCTGAACAACAACAATTATTTCATTTGGTTGTTATTATCTACTGGCTCACAAGACAAAGCTCTTTTAGAAGAAGCCTGCATTTTAATACCTAATATATGCCCATTGTAGATATTCAAGATCTTTTTGTTGGTTAAAATGTTATTGTCATTGATTCAGCTCTGACTCAGAGTGCCTGTTTTATACAACGCAATGAAGCACTGCCTGGTCCTTTGTCATCTTCAAAATTTCTGCTGTGCAAACTAGAGGGGGTGGGTGGGAAATTCTGCTCATTCTCCATCTATTTTTCTTTTCTAAAAAAAATGAATAAATAAATGCTTTCTTGTCCTTTTGGTTCCACTAGATCCTAAGACGTTAATCCTGGCAATGTAGTTACAATTATAAAAATCCCCGCTGACTTGCAGATGTACCTTTTTTGGAGGTTTGTTTCTTTGGGCAAGAGTTGGATCTGTTTGTACTGAAATTCGCAGCCAGCACCACCTGAGTAAATATTGCATACTAATTCTGTGTTATTTTCTGAACAGTGCCAACTAATTTTGCTAGTGAACTTCAGATTTATACAACACAGGGTTTCCGGGTCATAGCATTGGCCTATAAGAAATTGGAAACTGACCACCACATCACTGCCTTGACGAGGTAAATGGGGAGTGTGCTTATAGTGAAACGATTTGGTGAAAAGATGCAAAAGACTGGGAAGAGAGTCACATGGTAGGGGTTGTGGACTCAGATTTATAGCTTGCTAGCTTCCTGTACATGAATTGTCTCTGAATTTTGGTAAATGACAATACAATAATCTATTCTTTCCCTCAATCACAAAGCTAATATGATAATTCACTAGAGGAGTGAATAAGAGATGGCTGTGCAAACTGCAAAATGTAGTATGATATATACGAATTTGTGAAAATAATCAGTTTTGGAGAGTTAGAAATTGTGCTCATGTCCCTATTTTGAACCAAGTGTAAGTAGTTGATTTTCTTTTTCTCCACCTTAGAGTTAGTAATTGGTTGAACATTATAAAGCAATATTTTTCTGAAAAAAAATATTGATCTAATAGATACAAAGAGTGGAATTTTTTTTGTTTATTTGGCTTGTTTTGTTTTGCTGTGGTCTCAGTGAAGGTTTACAAAGCTAATTCGTTTTCCATTCGGCCATTGGTAAACATTTTGCTTTTTGACCTTAATTACAAACCCACTGTGCAACTGCATTCTTTCTCTTTACTCTCTGTGGTTTGTCTTCCCCTTAATCTTTCTATCTTAACCTGTCTTTGTCTTCTGAGGTTTATCCATGGGGAATGCTGCCCTTCGGATCTTATGTCCTAGTAATTGAATGTGTTCTTGCTGTTGTTGTCATCTTTGGGTTTGTCTATCTATTGTTGGGCTGCAAGATGATGTGTGAAGGGGCAGTGAGCTTCAATCCACACTTTAAGGGTGACTAAGGGCTTTATTCTTGGGGGCTCCACCGATATCTGTTGAACCAGTAAGCATGGCCATTTTCATGTTCTCAGGTTCTGTTCCACGTTTTTCTCTAACCCTGTCCAGCACCTTCTACTGTGATTCCTTTTAGCCTGGGCACTAGTGTTAGTTGGGCACCATCTGATTGTTCTGGTCTCAAGGTTATAGAGGTAGAGGTTCACATTGTCCATTTGCCCTTTTGACTACTATAAGAAATACCATTGTTTAATGGAACAAGTTACTTGAATTTAACTGGTAATCTAAGCAATGTTTGCTGAAAAACAAGGAAAGCTTTTTAGAGGAAATGCTGGAGAATTTTTAAGTGTGAATATATTATAATGGATATTTAGCATCTATTGGCTATTGTTTTTGTTTTGTTTTCAATTTTTAGTACATCTTATTTATTTCATCTTCAATGGCACACCCAATAGTTAGTTAGCAACTACTGATAATACTGTTTATGGATTGAATTAAGGCTGATTTTGTTATTTAAACATAAACACAGCATTTCAATATGTGTTGTTGTTTTGTGCCAACAAGTCACTTGTGACTCTTAGTGACCCTATAGCTCTGAATCCTGCCCTACTCTGAGCCAGTCTCACTGACCCCACACACCTACCCCCGTTACCCCATTTATTGTGTCAATCCATCTCATCCTGGGTCTTCCTCTCCCACACTGTCCCTCCACCCTTTTAAGCATGATATCCTTCTCCATGGACTGTCACCTCTGGCCACATGCCCAGAGTATGTGAGATGGACCTTCAAAATCTAGCCTCCAAGGAGAAACTTGGTTTTACCTTGTCCAAAGCAGACCTGTTTGTTCTCTTGGCAGTACATGGTATGTTCAATATTCTTCTCTAGCACCACAACTCAAAGGCATCAATTTTTCTGTCAATTCCAGTCAATGCCAGCTCTTTGATGCATAGCAAGTAATTATGAAGACCATGGCCTGGATTAGTCCCTACACCTTAGTCTGTTGATTGACATCATTATTTCTCAGTACTCTGGAAAGTTCCCTGACTACAGATTTTTCTAATGCAATTAATATTTTTATTTCCTGACTGCTAATGTCATGAGTGTTGATTGTGGAGCTAAACAAGCTGAAACTGTTAACCTCAGTATCTTCTCCATCTATCATGATTACACCAATTGGCCCAATGGTGAAAATCTTTGTCTTCTTGATGTTAAGGTTAAATCCATATACTCCAGTCCTTGACTTTCTTCAGCAAATGCTTTAGGTTCTCAGTTTCTGCAAGCAAACTTATGCCATCTGCATATCACAGGTTATTGTTGAGTATTCCTCCATTCTTGATGCCACATTGCTCCTAATAAAACCCAGCTTCCTGAATGACCACTTCTGCATATAGATTGACAAGTATGGGATAAAGGACTCATCCCAGATGCACTCCTTTCTTGATTTTAAGCCATGCAGTGATTCCTTGCTCTGTACTGAGGACTGCTTTCTGGTCTAAGTACAGGTTTTGCATGAGCAAAATCAAGTATTCTGGGATTCCTCTTCTCCTGAAGGTTAGCTACAATTTGTTATGATACACACAGTCAAATGCCTTTGCATAATGAGTGACAAAAATAGACATTCCGTTAATATTCTTTGCTTTCAGCCAAGATCCATTTGACCTTAGTGATAATGTCTCTAGTGTCACGACCTCTTATAACCCCAGCTTGTATTTCTGGTACTTCTCTGTTGATGTACTGTTCCAGTTTCTTTTGGATAATATTCAACAGGATTTTGCTTGCATGTGACATTGTTTGATAATATCCACACTGTCGGAATGGGTATGAATGTGGATCTCTTCCAAAATCAGTTAGCCAAGTAATTGTCCTCCATATTTCTTAAAAAACCTGGTGAGCACATCCAGGGAAGAATCTCATTGTTGAAATATGTCAATTGGTATTCCATCAATTCCTGGGACCTTGTTTTTGCCAATTCCTTCAGAGTAACTTGCACTTCTTCTTTCATCACTATTGTCTCTTAAAATATTTTTCTTAAAATTCTTATGTGTCAATTATTTTTGCTACAGTGTCTCTGTCTACTCCTTCCATTTTTTTTTTTAATGCTTCCTGGATCATTCAATGTTTTGCCCATAACAATATGTGAGTTCTAAAATATTTGTTTTCAACTATTATAAGAGTCAGCATTATCTTGTGGTCGTTAATCTAAATTAGATTTATGCATAACATTATGTGCAAATATTCTCTGTAAAAAGTAATATCCTGCCCATATAATGAAGTTAAAGCAGGAAGTACAATGCATTACAAAAATCAGCATTGTTATTTTTATATGCCATCAAGTCACTTGCAACTCATAGTGACCTTATGTATAACAGCTCCGAACTCTGTTTTATCTTGAGCTAATTTCATATTCTCTCACATACCTACCCCCATTACCCCAATCACTGAATCAATCCGTTTCATCCAGGGTCTTCCTCTCTTGTACTGTCCCTCCACCCTTTCAAGCAGGATACACCTCTCCAAGGACTGTTTTCTTCTTGAAAAATACCCCAAGTATGTCAGACTTAACTACAGTATCCTTGCCTCCAAGGAGCAGCCTGGCTTCACCCTCTCCAGGACAAACCTGTTTGTTCTCCTAGCAGTCCATGGTATGTTCAATACTCTTCTCCAGCACCACTGCTCAAAAGCATCAATTCTTCTTCTATAATCCTTAGACATTGTCCAGCTCTCTGATGCATAGTAAAGAATTGTGAAGACCATGGCTTGAATCAGGCACACTTAAGTCTCTAGGCTGACATAGTTGCTTTTCATTACTCTGGAGATATACTTGACAGCAGTTTTCCCAGAGAAATTGGTCTTTTGATTTCCTGACTGCTGGTGCCAAGAGTGTCGATTTTGGAACCAAGCAATATATTTCCATAAATGCTTAACAGGTGCTAGTGAAACAAAATGGAATATTAAGCTACTTGCATCCACGAAGGAGAATGGTTATGACTGCCACAGAAACAAATACATATTGATATGTTTTTGTTAGGTGTCATTGAGTCAAGTGCAATGCCAGTGACCCTAAGAACTATATGTCTGAGCCCTGTCCTATCCTGTGCTTATCTCACAATCTCTGACACACTTGACCCATTTATGTCAATCCACCTGGTCGAGGGTCTTCCTCTCCTTTACTATCCCCCCACCTTTCCAAGCATGATGTCCTTCTCCAATGAATAGACTTTCCCACCATTGTGCCCAAAGTATTGGGACACATTGATATAGAAGTATTGGAGATATTGGAGTCTTGAATACCACAGTCTTATTGTTAGTAAAGTGGCTTTGTGAAGTAATTAAAGACTCCTGCTGAACATCTGAACAAAACAATACAATCCAGTCTCACATGATAGGGACATTTCTGGAAAATTAATAGACTATTACTCTACAAAAATTCTTTATGTTTATATGTAGAATAACTCTCAGGATCGGGAATTTAGAAAAAGGAAATAATGTCCATTTATGTCTAGTAAAATCTTCAAATGGACTTAAGATAATTCTTCATTGTATACTGAATGCTGCAGAAAATCTTGTCCAGCCCTCCCCACAAAGTTCTATAATGTGCTCTATTATACTGAGCATCCCTACGATGAACCTATCACTTTGCAAATGGGGAAACTAATGTAACCAAGGGTTGGATTCCTTGGCATTTCAGGCACCTCTGTCTGGAACATAGATGTGTTCCTTGAATGTGACCCTTGAACCTCTGACTCTTGGAATTCAGTATATTTGCAGCGGATCTACTTAGGTCCAGGTCACTCGAGACAGAGGGCTGAAAGTGAGCCGTGATATTGGCTCTCACCTTTCAGAGAAGAGAAAACTTGAATCAAGAAATGAATGAGACAGATTGAGGAAAGGAACTTAATTTCCCACGAGCCTGCTGCCAGAAATGATATATCAAGTTTCTGGCTACCATGTTGCTGCTTTCAATTATTGTAATAGGATATTTGCTTATTTATGAGCTTCAAAATCAAGGTGATGAGGGCTGTGTTAATAGAGGATGCACTTGAGCTGGCAGCAAATAAAACAGCAGGAACGCATGGGTGAGGGTGAAGGCACATTCTCTGCTCAAAGGCATCGGTAGTCAAACTTCTCCAAATCTGATGTGGACTAAACACTCTTCAGTGATAGTGTTTGATCATCGGTTATCAACTTGCTTCTCTTGTCTTAAAATGACATCACCACTGTGTATACTTACTGTTTAGTTAATTTACCTAACCTTTACTAATCCCTGATTAGGGAGCGTTCTTTCTATTTTATGTGGTTAGTCAGGGTACTTCCAACATTAATATCATAATCTCTTTGGGGTTTATTTGCCAGCTTTGTGCATACTTCATCTTTTAGAAGTCACATGGATGTTAAGAATGTGAAGTATAATCAGAGGAAAGACAAAGTTCGCTTAGTATTGCACATCATTGCTGTTTTTAGAAGCTTCAGCAACAGGTGTACTGCCTGTGGAGGTAACAGGAAAGGAGAGCATATTATTGCAAATTACAGAGCTTGAAGGGCCTACTTCTTTTCTTTCTTTCTTTGTTCACATTGAATGTTCATGAAAAGAAGAATCATGTAATGTTGAACTAGAAGAGGCCTTGGAGGTTGGTTAAGCCCACCTCTTTTTTTTATAAATCAAGAAACACAGTGACAAAATTATTTGCCCATGCTCACACAGCAAGATAATGGCAGAGCTGGGATTAAAACTCAGGTCTCCTAAGTATTGTAAATTGAAGACTATGGGCCAGAAGAACCAAAAATATTAATGCCAAGATGGCTTATAGGCAACAGCAGGTATTTTTCCTGCAAGAATTTGTGTACTAATCTGGCACTTTCTGGTTGACTTATTTTAAATCAATTTTGATAATCTATAAAGCCTAGGATTTGGTGTAAGAGTCACTCGACTAATTGAAGACTTCAGAGTTGTACAGCAATTATATTAAATACCAGTTCAAGTAGCACCTCTTCCAGGAAGACCTCTTCAATTTCAGTTTGTCAATCCAGAATTGATTTAATCTTCCTCTCTTTCATTTAAGGCCATGGGACTCAAGTATCTCAAGTATGTGTGTCTGTTATTGCTCTAATTTGTCTTCCATGTAACTAAGGTGGTCATGTCTCATCTTTACCTTTCAATTTCATGTGAAATCCCTGGAGTCAGAAGCTACTATGTTGTTGTTGTTGTTGTTAAGTGCCGTCGAGGCGCTTGTGATACTCTCTGCATATTCTGTCCCCTTTTTTCATTGGCCCTGTTCCTTGTATTAATAGATACTCAGTAAATTATCATTGGTATAACAGACTGACAAAGCTTGGGATCCCAATAAGTAAACACTAACAGTGAAATCTGTGCAAGAGGAAGTGAATCCTACCAGGTAATAGTTGTCAGGAAGAAATGAAAGTATCCAGTCAGCAAATATTTGGTGAGCATCCCATGTGTGAGGTGGGTATGGTTGAACAAAGAGTTGAACCAGGTAGGCTTTTCCCTCAAGAAGTTAGAGACTTCTTAAAATGTCAAAATGAAATATGTGGACAAATGAAATATAATTGAAGCTGAGCTAGAAGCAGTATGTTAGGAAATTAGTCATTATTCTCAGTGGAATAAAGAAGTGGGAGAAGTGGCATATGAATTTGGTTCCAAAATAGATAAAAGTTTTCAATGGTAGATCATAAGGAACCTGTAACCCTTTCCATTATGCAAATAAGAAAATTATAACATGGCATTCTAGAGCAAATGTCTAGAGATGTTTAAGGACACCTGTCCAGGTAATGGTGGATGGTCTGACCTCTTTGGCAGCCACAGTAGGTTAAGAAGAATTCTGTGATATATAACATTTAAGTAGTTTGGAAATAGATGTTTGAGAATTCTTGAATACCTGATCAGGAGAACAAAGAATGCCATCCTTCTCAGCCTGCTCTGAAGTCAGTGGTTCGAACTGTGCCCACTTTCTGATGTTTTGGAGGTCCCGGAAGTTTCCTCAGAGCGTCATTGGTCCTAGTCCATGGCCTGGCAGATGTGAGAGCCAGCACTGACATGGCAATCAAGGCAAGGGGATTTGGTTTGCATGCATCCTTATTTTTTCAGTGTAGATTAAGCTGTGCTTTTGTGCCTGATAAAGGTCTCTGAGTCCCATATAAATAAAAATTATGCATTTTTTTAGCCCTTGCCCTTTATATACTTCACTATACTTGCTCCTGTGGAATGTCTTGGAAATGTTCAGATGTCTGGCCTTATTTGGAGAAATACTTTCTTCAGAAGAGCAATGCAAGTAGCTGAGTGATTTTGATGGTGGTGGTGGTGACCTAAGTAGAGGGATCTATTTTGAATTATGGTCTTTTACTTCCTAGAGTTAAAACAGAATTATGACCTTGTTTTCTGAAGACACAGGATTCCCCCACCTCTTTGTATGATACCCCTCATTCTTTTAGTGTTCATAGGGTTTTTAAAGGCATATTACTTAACAAGTAGATGTCTCATCCTGCTTCCTAATCTGTCTTAATCAGAGAGCGCCACCAAAATCTGTCCACTATGAATAATCCTTATGGCATTTGATACACCAGTGGGACAGCTTTCAGTATCACAGCAACCCCAAGTTATCTCAGTACAACAAACTTACAGACAAGCGCTGTACCACTTAGAACAATGTTCTTTGCAAACAAAGTCAATACCAGACCCTTGAGTCCAACTGATTTTTAAATAAAAAGGCCCATCCAACAGGTCCTGGTTCACTTAAACAACAGGCTTCCAGTCCACAGCTGATTCTGATTGTTAACTAAATCATTCTTTCTCCATACCAATTCAGTCTGTATGCTGAGAAAATTATCCAAGAAGCCAGACTCTATGAAGAGGAGTGTGGCATCAGGATTGAAGGGAGACTTATCAATAACCTGTGTTGTACAGATGACACAACCTTTCTTGCTGAAAGTGAGGAGGATTTGAAGCATTTGTTGAAGATCAGTAATGTAGTCCTCTGAATGGTTTGCATCTCAGTGTCAAAAAAACAAAGATTCTTACCACTGGACTGAGCAGCATCATGAGGGATGGAAAGGAAATTGAAACTGTCAACAGCTTCATCTTGCTTGGATCTGTAATTAACAGTCTTGGTACCAGCAGTCAGGAAACAAGGAGATGCATTGCACTGGGAAAATCTGCAGTTAGGGACCTCTCCAAATTATTGAGGAGTAATGATGTCAGTTTGAGGACTAAGGTGCATCTGATTCAGGCCATAGTCTTCCAAATCACTTGCTATGCATCTGAGAGCTGGACAGTGAAAAAGGATGACATAAAAGAAAGTGATGGCTTTGAGTTATGGTGTTGGAGAAGAGCACTGAACATCCCATGGGCAGCCAAAAGAAAAAACAGATATCTTGGAGAGAGTGCAGCCAGAGTGTTCTTTGGAGGCAAGAATGATGAGGCTTTCACCTCTCATACTTTGGGTATGTTACTAGGAGGTGCTATTCCTTGGAGAAGGACATGATGCTGGAAAGAGTAGAGGATGAGCGAAAGAGAGGAAGACCCTCAACCAGATAGATTGATACGGAAACTGCTACGATGGGCTCTCTTGTGTGTCAGGAAGTATGAGGTTGGAACAGGATAGAACAGGGTTCATATCTTTGTTCATAAAGTTGCTATGAGTAATACTCAACTCAATGGCACCTAACAACAACATAATACACCATTATTTTTTGTTGTTTATTAGTTTGTCTATTTTGTACCAGAATTTGAGCTCCTCTTTGTTGGTTGCTTGTATTATTGTTATTAGGTACAATTGAGCTGACTTGGACTCATAGCAACCCTGTGAACAGCAGATCTGAACCTCGCACAATCATGTATCTGATATGCTCACAGTATCTGATATGCTTGAGTCCATTTTATCAATCCGTCTTATTGGGTAGATCTTCCTTTTTTTCTCTGACCCTTCAACTTTCCCATCCTGCTGTTCTTTTCAAGATCTACCTTCTCCTGACAACATGCACAAAGTATGTGAGACGAACCTTCACCATCCTTACCTCTAAGGACTACCTTGTTGCACTTACTCTAAGACATATGTAATTGCTTTTTTGGTCAGTTTATGGGCTATTCAGTATTCTTCTCCAACAGCACAACTCAATGGCATTAATTGTTTTTCTATCATCCTTGTTCATTGTCAAGCATAGGTGAGGAAATTACAATAAGGAAAACAATATAATAGTGGGTAGACAAGACTTTTTTGTACTAATTTAACTGACTTTGTAGGAAGGCTGAAGCTAATCCCATTAGGTACTCCCTTCCTTTTGATTCATGTCAAACAACTGTCTCATGATCTTCTCCCTTCCTCCTGCACAGTACCTGGCACATTTTCAGTGCCTAAAATGGCATGTCAGTGAGTGAGTTAAAAACCATTTTGACAGGAAGGTTTTTGTTTTACTTCTAGTAACAAAGTTTTAAAAAGTAAAAACTATGTTTGTTCGCTCATATTTCTATTTCAAGGGAGAAGGTGGAGACAGACTTGATATTTCTGGGATTGCTGATCTTGGAGAACCGATTGAAAGAAGAGACAAAACCTGTCCTGGAAGAACTCATCTCAGCCCGAATAAGGACAGTAATGATCACAGGTATAAAACAAAGTGTCCTATGAAAACTGTAAACATTTGGTGAACAAATAAAGAGAGATTGGCTCTTTTAAAGCATGTCATGACTACAGAAATGGGCTCAAGTATGTCAGAGATGATGAGGATGGCACAGGATAGAACCGGATTCATTTCTGCTGTTAATTGGGTCACTATAAGTTATACTTGACTTGATGGCACCTAACAATAACAACAATAATGGGTCAGACACTGTTCCAGGTGCTGGAGGTAGATGGGGAAAGACAAGATCATTGTCCTCATCCAGCTAAAATCCCAGTGGGTTGAAATAGAAGCACAATCAAACACCAATATTAAACACCACAAAGTTCCTGAGAGTCACAAAGAGTTAAGTGCTTAACTGCTAACTGAGAGAGAGATGGATGACATGAACCCACAAACGTTTTAAGATCTGCTTTCAGTAGTCCACAGCCTTGAAAACCTTACAATGCCGTTTTCTGTGGCACATGATTGTTACTGTTGTTATGTGCTGTCCAGTTCATAGCAATGTCATAAGCAACAGCCCTGAGCCTTGCCCTGCCCTGCACCACCCTCCTGAGCTCCAACATGCCCAAGTCTGTTCCTATAGTCTTGCTGTCAGACCAGCTTGTTGAGCCTCTCCCCTTTTTGTTACCCCTTGTGGAGTGTCCTTAAATTGGACTGTATTCATCTGGAATTGGTTTTTATTGAATATTCTATTTAACTTGTACAAATAAGTGTATGTCTAGGGTAGTATACATGGTTCATTTTCTCAGCTGCTAACAGAAGGGTGACATGTTTGAGTTCACTCAGACATGCCACAGGAGAAGAGCCAGTTGATATACTTTGGGGGGGGGAATCAATTAAAACTGTGGGATTCAAGTCTCTCTTAACACACCTGGGTGGCCAAAAATCAGAATTAACTTGAAAATAATTGTTATAAACCACATACAACAAAGTGATGTGGGAAAGTGTCTTTGATTGGATGTTTTAGATGACGTGGTGCAAGGAATTTGCTCTAAGAAGGTGACATGTAAGAAAACACAGTGAGTGACAAGAAAATATGAGGCATGTAAAAGCAAAGATTTACTATTTTGAAATATTAGGAGGGGGAAAGTATGTAGACTTTGATTTGTAAATGATGCTGAAAGTTCATAAATGATGATCTCTGATTTTGGAGATAAATAATATTGTCCATTCTACTCTCATTATTAGACCTGAAATCACACAAATGAGGAACCAGTACAAAGGGCTCATTTAGGAAGAAAAAAAAATACGTGAAATTGTTAAATGACTGTTTTTGAGTAGATGCTGCAATTTGCTTGGAAAAAGACTAGAGGAAAAGAAATGATTTCCTAATGAAATGATATTAATAAATGAATGTTTGAGTGTGTTACACATACAACCTGTCTAAAAATCTTAAGTAGCAGTAATTATTTCTGAATGATGAATCTACCTTGTGGCATCAACTCCTCTGTGGGTGTTATGTCCACATATAATGATTGTGTCATACATTTGACACTTACAAAATGTTGGCAAATGACAGCCTTTTTAATTGCTCACAAAACACCAAGACAGCATATGAAATGAGGACAGTGTTTCATGATGAGTGCCCTCTGGTTTGAAAGCTCCTTGGGTGGAGATGGAAAACTCTTCCACACTTTGTTATGCTCCCACTTTACACCATAGAAGGGAGCTGGCTTAGTAACTAAGTTGTTGATCTGACAAACCAAAGGCACATGGTTTGAATCCAGCTGCTCCTTAGGAGAAAGATGAGCAGGTGTTCTCAAGTGATTTACTGCCTCTGAAAACCCACTGGGCGAGGGTCAGCTATGAGTTGGTGTCAACAGTACCTTACAACAGCAGTTTACATCATCGAAGAGGGACTGTTGTTATTATTGTTGGATGTCATTAAGTCAAGTATGAATGACCAATCTGAACATTGTCTTATTCTGTGCCATCTTCACAATCTCTGACACACTCAAGTCCATTGTCACATTCACTGTGTCAGCCCACCTGATTGAGGTTTCTCCTCTCTTTTGCTGCCTCTCGTCCCTCCCAAGCATGATGTCTCTCTCCAAAGAACAACTTCTCTTAGAAATATGACCAAAGCATATGACGAAACTTCATCAGCTTTGCCTGCAAAAAACACACTGGCTGCAACTTCTCCAAAACATATCTTTTTGTTCTTTGGGCAGTACTATGAGATCTTCTGCACTGTTCTTGAACACCAGAGTTGAAAGGCAACAATTTTTCTTCTGTCATCCTTAATCATTGTCCAGCTCCTCAGATGCATATCAAATTCCTGAAAAGACCATGGCCTGAATCAGGCGTTCCTTAGTCCTCAAACTGACTACTTTTGAGAGGTCTCTGACTATAGAATTTCCCAGTACAACATATCACTTAATCTCCCAACTTCTGGCACCACATGTATTGATTCTGGATCCAAGAAAAGGAAGTTGTTAGCAGTCTCAGCCCTGTCTCTATCCATCATGATGTCACTTATAAGTCCAGTGGTGAATATTTTTGTTTTCTTGATTTTGAGATGTAATCCATATTTCAATATGGAAGGCTGTAGTTTTTAGCCTTCTACAGCAAGTGTTTCAAGTCCTCCTCCTTTTCAGCAAGCATGATTGTGTCATCTGTATATAGAAGTTTATTGATCCTGGAGAGGGTTGAAATCAGGCTGCTTCTTGGAGGCAAGAATTTTGAAGCTTCATCTCACATACTTTGGGCATGTTTCAATGAGGGAACAGTTCTTGGAAAGGGATACCATGACTGGAAGAGTGGAGGGACAGAACAAGAGAGGAAGACCCTAAATGAGATGGTTTGACATAGTGACTAGGGCTATGGGAGTAGGTTTGTCAGAGAAAATGAAATTGGCTCAAGATAGAGCAGGGTTCAGAGCTGTTGGACAGAAGGTCTCTATGAGTCACAGGCAACTCGACAGAATATAACAATTACAATAATCCCCCAATTCTGATGTCACATTTTTCTTCAGAGTCCAGGTTACACTAATACAATATTATATAAGTTAAGTTTATATTTATTTGGTTATTGAATTTTAAGAACAAATTTTCATTTACTTCAATGTAAATGTACAAGCAATTCAGACATACCTTCCTCACTCATTTTAATTTTCTAATTTCCCATATTTTGTTAATGTTACCTGAAATCTAGGTTAAATAGAAAAACATCCAATCAATCTTTTTCTTCCAACCTCAGCTAACAGTTGCTTCCCCTGTTGTTGTTGTTACATGCTGTCAGGTTGCCTGCAACCCATGTACAGCAGCTCTGAAGCCTGCCTTGTTCTGAGCCAGTTTTACTGATTCCAACACACCTAGCCTCATTTCCTCAGTTACCGTATCATTCCTTCTCATCTGGGATCTTCCTCTCTGGCACCGTCCCTCCAGCCTTCTGAGCATGATGTCCTTCTCCAAGAACTGGTTCCTCCTGGCCATGTGCCCAAAGTTATGTGAGATGGCACTGAAAAGTCCTATTCTCCAAGGAGAATCTTGATTTCATCCTCTTTAAGACAGACCTGTTTGTTTTCTTGGCTGTATGTGGTATGTTCAAGACTCTTTTCCAGCACCACAACTCAAAGGCATCAATTTTTCTTCTGTCATCTTTAGTCATTGTCTAGCTCTCTGATACATAGCAAATAATGACAAAGACAGTGGCCTATATCAGGTGCATCTTAGTCTCTACACTGACATCATGGTTTTTCAATACTCTGGAGAGATCCCTGACAGCAGATTTTCCCAATGCAATTTGTCTTCTGATTTCCTGCCTGCTGGTGCCAAGAGTGTTAATTGTGGAGCTGAGCAAGCTGTAGCTGTTAACAACCTTAATCTCTTCTCCATTTGTCCTGGTGCTGCCAACTAGCTCAGTGGTGAGACACTTAGTCTTCTTGATGTTGAGCTTCAATCCGTTTTGAAGACTACAGTCCTTGACCTTCTGCAACAAGTGCTTCAGGTCCTCAATTTCAGCAAGCAAGGTTGTGTCATCAGCATAATCCAGGCTGTTGATGAGTCTTCCTCCAACCCTTATGCCACAATCCTCCTCATAAACTATCTTTGATATTTTATTGCATAAGAGAAGCCAGATGTCCGGCCAGAAATTTTCCCTTTTTGGTCATTGTTGTGTTTTGTTTAGGCATTTAATTTTCCTTCACTCTGTCTTTATACTTTAAAGAATTTTGATGCTCTTTACACCCAATTGCTTGATATTTATCCCATAATTTACATACATTAAATTTTTGTTTGTTTCTTTTTCACTTTTTGCTGGTCATCACTGCTGCTGATTGTTCTTCATTCCATTTGTTGCCTTATTAATTTAGAATACTTATTGTAATTTTTTCATTCTTTCAAATGTTGCATCAAAGGAACCTTAGTCTTTAAATTGAAAGTGTTCTTTCTCCTTTAGAGAAAGACTTGACAGTAGATTTTCCTAATACAGGACATCTTTTGGTTTCTTGACTGCTGCTGCCATACTCTGGTACTCACTTACGAATTTTTTCTTGTTTTCCAGTACAACTTTTATATGTTGATGAGTTAGTTATAAAAAATTTACCAAACACAATGACTATCTAAAAAATAGTGACTTGCCATGTATATTATAAATTCTCATAATTGTTTCTTTCTCTTCTCCTATTCTCGCTATTCAAATTTCTGTCATGTTTCTGTCCTTGTTGGCTTATCATTTTCCCCAAATGCTGTTCTCAGGTACAAGGGCTATATGAGTTTGGATTTCCTACCTATCATGGAATATATGTCTTTACCTGACAGGTAGGTTCTATATTCCTTGGATATGAGATTTTTGAGTTGCAATCCTTTTTGTTAATGCTTAGATCGTAACCTTTTATTAATATAGACTGTATTCCTTTGTCTTCCAGTTTTGGTATTACACAGCATGAATCTGTTGCCAGTCTCCCTAGGCAACTTGTTCATTCTGTTAGAAGCCTTCTTGTTAACTTTGGAGTTTAGAATGTTCCCAGGGCATGCCTGTATGTCTGTTCTTTTCTCATTAATTGGTTCAGGAACACAAACACACTTTTAATGTGTCTGTCTTTCCCTCATACATATTTCCTCTATTGTTCAATTAATCATTGCCTTTGTTCTCTTTTCTTTCTCATTAGTTACATGTCTGGTATCTTGGGTCTAGTTTCTCAATTTCTTATCTTTTATCTTATGAATGTCACATTTTTATAATTTTATTTTAAGAATTTTTTTCCACTCAATTTTTCTAAGTTTCAGTAATGACATTGTTGTTTTTGTTAGGTGCTACCAAGTCAAGTCTTTCTCATAGTAATCCTGTGAACAACAGATCTGAACCTCATCATATCCTGTGCCATCCTCTTAATTTCTGACACTTTTTTTTGTAATCTTTTTTTTTTTTATTTTTTTTATTATATTTTATTAATTTTCATAAACATTTACAGAGATTTGGGGCTTCCACTCATTCATTGTTGCACTATTCTCTCTACCCTCCTCCCAGTTTGTTCTTGTCCAAATGCCACAGTGCTTGTCAAAGCCAGTTCTGATTAATCTTCTTTGTCAGTGTATTTTATGCCCATTTTTGCAGTCATTGTGTTAACCCATCTGATTGGGGGTCTTGCTTTCTTTTGCTTGCCCTCAACCTTTCCAAGCCTGGTAAGGACTTTATCTTCTTCCTATCAGCTAGTGAATTGCTAACTTTTGAGAGTGGCAGTAAATTCAGAGAACATTGGATTTTTGGTGATACATTTGAGTTCCTTTAGTGCTTTCATTCTTTTTAGTGCACGTTTCATCTGTCTCCAGCAATGGCTCTGCTTCATTCTATGTTCTGCCTGATCTTTTCCTATCTAGCTGCTGACATCCTTAGATAGAATACTATACATCTTTTTCAAGCTATTGAGGCTTAGACTTGGACTGTATATCTTATACAGTGGGATTCTCATGTTTGGTTTTGTTGTTAGGAGTCATCACAATGGCTCCAAATTATAGAGAACTTGCATGCAAAAGGAAGAAAGGCCGGTGAGTCTGTACCACTCCCTCAGTCTCTGAATGCTTAAACCCATTGTTGCAGTCATTGTGTCAACCCTGTTGCTATCCTCTGTTTCCAAGCACGTTGTCCTTCTCCAAGGACTAAGGTCCTCCTGATAACATGACCAAAGTGTGTGAGATAATAAATGTCTCACTATCCCTGTTTCTAAGGAAGACTCTGGTGTTACTTCTTCCCAGACAGATTTGTCTGTTCTTTTGTCAGTCTATGGAATAGTCTATATTTTTGCCAACTCCACAATTCAAAAGCATCAATTCTTCCTTAGTGGTTCTGTGGTTCCCTCCTGAAGCGTCTCGAGGAAGCTTCTTAACTCTCAGGTGTCTTTGTATACTTCCAACTTTCCCCAGTAATTCAGCTCTTTGGAGGATCCTTATAATTATTTTGGTAGAAACTAGAAATATCCAGCAAGATGTAGTAAGTTGTTACTCTGTTGTTGTGTACTGTTGAGTCAGAACAGACCCAAAGCTGACCCTCCATGGGGTTTCCAGAGGCAGCTAATCACACTAGAGGAGACTGTTCAACTTTTTTCTGCAGAGCAGCTGGTAGATTCAAACCACATACCTTTGGATTGTCAGCACAGTTCCTTGCCACTAAGCCCCCAGAGCTCCTTGAGTTACTGTTCCAGGAATCACTTACCTACCCTTTCAAAAAGTCTTGTATGCAAATCTCACACTCATTTCTTAATGTTATTTTGTTCTGTGTGTGGAATACATTAAAAACCCTATCAGACAATATTATAGTTTGTACTCTCAATTATCAAAAGTTAAAAAACATACCCGAAACCACTGCCATCAAGTCAAGTTCAACTTCTAGTGACCGACCCCTCTATTAGATTTCTGAGAAAGGACATCTTTGCAAGCATAGACTGCCCATCTTTCTCCTGGAGAGCTCGCTGGTAGACTCAAGCAACCAACCTTTCAGTTAACAGCACAGCAGGTAAAGCACTGCACCAGCAGGCCTCCTTTAAAGGATGAAAGGGAAGAAAATCATCTTTTATTTATGCAGAATATTTGTTATCTCTTTTGTTCCACTATAAGGTACACAACAACAACAATCATTGTTGAAGTTCCAGATTTCCCCTTAGCTTAATTTTCTTCTAGTCTGAAGAATTTCCTTCAATGCTGCTTTTTTAATATGGCTACTGCAGCTACCAGATACTGTAATAAGCCAGAAGTCTGCTAAAACATTGCAACCGTACCGACAAATGACAGAAGTAGATTTGAATTTGTTTCTCTACACTTCTTTCCCATTCTCTGGCAAAATTTACACTGGTAGGTTGTGAAATAATAGATGAAATGCAGTAAGAACAAGAGAAGGAATCATGGAATTATGGAGTGCCCAGGCTCTAAACAGCACTGCTGGTGGCACAATAGATTTAGCATTGACTTGCTATCTAAAAAGTTGATAGTTCAAATCCAGCAATTGCTTTATGTGGGAAAGATGAGGTCATCTGTTCTATAAGGATTGTTGGGCTTGGGACCGCTACAGGCAATTTCTACTCTCTTCTGTAGGGTCTCTATGAATCAAAATCAACTCCAAGGCAGTGGATAGGCCTCTAAGAGACCTTGAGGATTACTTCTCTCAATATTATTCATTCTATAGGGAGCTCAGGTGGCCTAGTGATAAGATGCTATGCTGCAATCCTGAAAGCATATAGTTCAAATACATCAGTTGCTCTACAGAAGAAGGATGGGCAGTCTCCTCCCATGTGATTAACTGCCTCTGAAAACCCTCTGGATGGTCAGCTACGGGTTGATTCTGACTTGATGGTGCACAACAAACAAAACACCAAAAAGTATCTAAAATAAAGTTTGTGTTCTTTTCTTCTACCTTGCCAGGTCCTACTTGACCAGAATTGGTCTATTTCTTCAGCCTTATTTTGACTTCTCTTACTTCTAGGTGACAATCTTCAGACAGCAATAACAGTGGCCAGAAAATCTGGGATGGTTTCTGAAAACCAGCGAGTAATTCTTCTTGAAGCGAATGAAGCCAGTGGATCTTCCTCAGCATCTGTATCTTGGAAATTAGTAGAAGAAATGAAACACATTACATATGGGAATAAGGTAAACCCAAAAGAAAAAAAAACCCTTCAGCTTGTTAACAAATTTGTTTCAATAGTTTTGACAACTGGATAACATTGGCCTTCAGGGCTGTATTGTATTCTCTAAATGTTGTCACACTTGTAGTTTATAAACTCAATGATATAATATTCCTGTAGTGTTCTTTAGGAGCTCTGGGGGCATAGTGAGTTACATGGTGCACTACTATCCAACAGGTCAGCAGTTCAAACCCACTAACCTCTACATAGGAAAAAAAGATAGAATGTCTCCTTCCATAAAGATTTACAACCGTGGACACCCACAGGAGGGTTACTAGGAGTCAAAATTGACTCTACAGGAGAAGGTTTCATGTGGGTTACTCTATTCTTACTGCACTATTAGGTGCAATGCTTTTCTAGATGCTAGAAATGATCTATTCTTTTAAACTTAAAAAATTTATTGGCTCTCTATAAGAAAGAATGTAGTAAGTGGGGCAACAAATTCAATTGCCCATTTTTCTCTTGCTTGTCAGCCACTTCATTGGGCTCTGCTGTGAAAGACGCCACTGCCTTCATTGGCCAGTGGAAAATCAGACTGTGCTTCTACATGTGAGGGGAAAGTTTTACTCATTTATCTCCAGTCTTCTTAGTATATTCTATCTCTATTGTGTCCTTGTGGAACCATATTAATTCTGTAAGGAGAAAAAATAAGTTCTCACTTCAGGGAGAGATTTGCTAAGCTGCAATGCTTTTGTATTTTACACTTGGAATATGTGAAATATGCTGTTCTCTGGGCTTACCAAGATCAAATCAAGATGAGAACAAGACATGAGTAAATGTTCTCTTATTCACTAGTGGTTGGGATGTGCAATGATTGATACAACAAAGAAAAATTCTTCTCTGTGGAATCAGGACTGAAGTGTGACTCTGAAAAAGAGAATATAATCTTTCTTTTTTGCCTTCTTTCACATATGCTTGTGGTCTTAACTTCTCTATCCAGGGAAAGGGTGTGAAATCATTGTGTCTTACTTTTCAGGACAATTACATTAACATCAAGGAGGAAGTCCCTGGTAATAACAGAGAAGGAAGTTACCATTTTGCCCTGGATGGGAAAACATTTCAGGTTATAAGTCAACATTTTAACAGCCTACTACCAAAAGTAAGTTCTAAGAGAGTGCTAGCCATCCAAAAATAAGCCCAAAATGGAACTTACAGTATGGTATTAGGTGATTTCAAACCCCTAGATATATGTGATATTGCTATTGAGTGATCAGTTCTTTGTATTATAAGGGAGGCAAATATTTTTCTAGAAGTTACCTACTACATTTGAGATAGGTGACCTTGATTAGTCAAGTTTCTGCTGTTGTTGTTGTTGTTATGTGCCGTCGAGTCGTTTTCGACTCATAGCGACCCTATGCACAACA